CTTGCTATGGGAGTCAGAAAAAGGAGACAAAGCAAATTGGAATCCAAGTTGTACTAACCAGAGGAGCTGTCTATTCAAGTTTCATGAAAGTCCTTTAAATAGCCATCTCTGACAAGTACGGCATGACTCACTCCTCTTCCTCTGGCCAGACTACATATCCTGGACAGAACAGGAAAAGCGGACATAACACACACCCATTGTACTGTAGCATCCACAGAATTCGTTATTTCCTCCTGTTCAGGTACATTCGCACCTCTCCACCTATTCTAATAATTAGACCATATCATATGAAATAACACCGTTAGAATTCTCTGTAGTATTTAATGTTCTAAAAGCAAAAAAGCTGTTGAAAGGCTTTATAAACATTGCACTTACAAATTACTCTTCTCTAGTCAGACTATAATCTTGACAAAGGCACATCTAACACTGGCCTAAGTAGAGGGGTAGTTTCTTTTCAAAATTGAAAATTAAAAGCACTATATACTGAAAGTGCATGGTTATGAATAGGTTATTTTCCTTTTTACCAAAAAATATGTAATAATTGTACTGACTTTCAAAAACCTGAGAGGTGACTGTCAGATTATAATTCAAGCAAGAAATTTACTACATATTCACTATTTAAAAACTCACCTTGCTACGGGAATCAGCAGTTAGCATAACGGCTATGTCACTGGACTCCCATGTAGTCTACTGTGGTTCAAGTCCTGGACCCAGTGGCTTAAACTTACACTGTGTGTGTGTGTGTGTGGGTGTGTGTGTGTGTGTGTACCCAAGATCCTGAAAGGAGAATGGAAGAGAAGGGATTGGGGCATGACCATCCCCCCTGGGGAGTGATTTCTCGCTTTCTTTCTCTGGCTTGCTGGCGAGCGCATGCACCCTATAGCAAAAACCTCTCCAAAAAAAAACTCACCTTGCTAATATTTCATCTCATATGTATTTAGCCTATAATGACCTCATTTGACAATCACAAATTTAATCACATCCTTACTCCTAAAAATTTATTAGGTAGAATCAACTTTGTACTGGTTTGAAAATGGGCTATATCTTCAAAAGAAATGGGTTACAGAAAGCAGGTCAAATAGGGAAGTCTAAGATTTTCAAACTCCAGTACTGGGGCTCAGAAGACAATACCTCAAACATAAACCTTTTGGCATGTTAAGTGCTTCAAACTATAGAACCAAAGTCCTTCTGAATTTCTTCGTCTCTCCTATCTCTTGTCCCCTTTTCTCCCAGGAAGAACAAAAGGAGAGTTTCTCTGAATTTCTCTTATCTGGTTGGAGACTCAATCCTCCAGAAAGAACTCATTTGTCCTGAATTCCCTTTCCCCTGGAATCCCACCACCCAGGAAGACAGATTCCTATTACAGCAGAGACTACCAAAAGTTAGCACCATACTTAGAAGGACTTTGTCACAGGTTTTCATCAGTTCTTTGGGCCCATTTACTCTCTCTCAAAAGTCATTTAATCTCTCCTAAACTGTCAACATCCCCTCATCTCTCCCATAAAGAGAGCACTATACATGAGCTTCTAAACATCATTGGGTTGTTGTGTTCTCACTTTTCTTTGTGTGATATGCCCATCCATGTAACAAATTCATAAATCTTTTCTAACTAATTTGACTACAGTATATTTCATAGACAGATAATATCAAACTTTCAGAGATCCCTACACAGACCGTGACTACATCATTTAAATATTTTTGTTGAGTATTTATCTTTGAATTGTCTAACATATACAAAAATGTATGCACAAACTTGGTCATTATAAAGTGGATGTAGAGACTTGTAAAAACTGTAAAAGGAAGAGTTTTCTTTTTCTTTCTTTTTTGCTTTTTTGGCTAGACAGTCATGCATATACCAGAGAGAAGAGGAGAGGAAAAGGCACTCCCCCTGCTTGAGGAATGGTCACACTACAATTACTTCTTCTTCATTATTTCCCCTCTTTTAGATATTTTGAGCATGCACACACATGTGCCTGGCATGTTTTTCAAGTCACTAGGTCTGGGGTTCCAACAACAGGTCAGCCATGTGGGGTCAGTCATGTGGGATCTAGCTGCCTTATCCACCAGGCCACAGGGCCAGCCCAGGAAGAGCTTTTTGAACTGGTATTAGTCTGGAAGACCTGCTTCATCACTCTTAGATTATCATATTAACAGTAAATGCCATGTGATTAAAAAGACAGTGCCACCTGTCATTTATATTACTCTTTACTGTGAAAAATTCAAAGTGCTATCTGTCATGCTTAGTTGGTTTCTCTAGTACATTTCTGTTCCCATTAATAGATGGAAAAAAATGAATTTTCCAAGACATATATCACTCAAGAGCCCAGAATAAGTCACTCTTTGGAGACAGAAGAAAATACAAACTTCTCTCTCAGTATTTAGTACTGGGCCTTTTAAAGTATCATAATTTCAAGTTTGGGGTCAGTGAGTGTGGCTGCACATAAGGTAATAAGCCCCTGGGGAACAAAGCACATGATAGTAGTTCGTTCATTCACTCATTCATTCATTCATCCAGCTGTGCCACTTGAGCCCTCACTACATGCCAGATACTGGTCTGGAAACTAGGCAGGAAAGTTCCTAATGTTAAGAATCCTATACCCTGATGGGGAAAAGAGAGAAAATAAAAAAGCCAAAATAAAATAACAATTGGCTGTAAGTGCTTTGAGAGGGAATAAAGCAAAGAAAGGGGGCAGAGAATGCCGAACACATTCACAGCATCTAAAATTACACAGCATGGTAAAGGAAAGCTTCCTCAAGAAGGGAGCATTTGAGTAAGTATCAGAAGCAAGCCAGAAATCATTATTGGAAGTATAATCTTCAAAAGTTGATATGTAGCTCATAATAATAAATTGAACATATACCAAAGATTTATTCTACTCATCTATGAATAAATGAATCATTTATATTAGGATGAAATGAATCAGATATTAAAACTGGCTCAAAAAACATGTGCAGAGCTGGTATCTATATAGGAAATTTAACAGTAGAGAGAGTAAGAAAGAATGCTAAGTTAAAAACTGGTACATGTCTTGCAGGGCAATAAACATAGACCATAACCCTCCAATAATCAAGGAATACTCTCCTCCACACAGACTTGCACATTTGCCTGGACCTTACTTGTGAAATTTGGTACAAGTAACTGTGGGTGAACTAAACAAGTTGGACTAGTTAGAAAATTTACATTGGAAAGGGGATAATAATTGAGTTTAGGATCAGGTCTGATTCACGTTTTTAAAATATTACCTCCTGAAATAAAAATTCATTAAGAAAAGGGGCTAGGGTAGAAACTGGAAGACCACTTAGGAAACTATTACCATAATTTGGGCAAATAAACAAGTAAATATATATCACATGTAAAAAGTGCTATATGGGTGGTGTTGTGGTTAAAGCACTGGACTCCCACATAGCTGACCATGGTTCAAATCGCAGACCTGGCAGCTTGCTTTCTCACTTATCCTCTCTTTCTCTCTGTCGTTCTCTGCTGAGCGCATGTAACTTGCAGCAAATTAAAAGTAATAATAAATGAAATTAAATAAATAGTGTTTTTTGAAGTGCTATGGAGACAAATAAGCAGAGCATGGTAAAGTTGGTGGAGAGAATGGCAGCACTGTCTGAAAAAGCCTGCCTGGGTAAGATGATATTTGAACAGAGACCTGAAGGATATAAAGAAGAAAATAAAGCAGGTATTTAAAGGAAGAGTACTCAGACAAAGGGATAAAACAAAATGAGGAAAAAGAAGTAGAGAAAAATACAAGGAGATAGATCAAAAGAGAATGGACTGTCTCAAAAATCATTTTAAGGACTTGATTTTTAGAGTAGATGAAATGAGAAGCCACTGAAGGTTTTGGAGGAGAGCAATGACATGATCAGCTGTAAGTAATTAACAGATTTCTGTGGCTGCAATGTGGGCAAAGATTTTTAAGTAAGCAATGACAAAAGTAAAAAGATAGTTAGAAGATACTTTGACATTCAAAGACGGAAATAATGGTAGTACAGAATAGTAGTGAATATGATAATAAATAGGTGAAACCTATGTATTCTGAAGGTAGAGTCAGCAAGTTTTGCTGAAGAGGCAGACATGAAGCAAGTAAGAAAAGGGACCAATAGGTTTTAGCCTTAGCGATTAGAAAAATGGAGCCCAGCTATGGTGGGGCAAGAAGTAGGGTGCTGCTGTACAATACTGAAATCCAATGGAAAAGCTGTGTGTTCCTGTCCCAGGATCACCCTAACATGCTGGGTGTTCTGTGGGCTCCCATGCTCCTAGCTGACTGCAGGGCTACAGGGAAAATAGTGGCATGGGGACTCTATGTGTGTGTGTGTGTGTGTGTGTGTGTGTGTGTGTGTGTGCGTGTGTGTGTACACATAAAGAAAATAAACTTTAGAAAAGAAAAAAAAAAAGACAGAGTTGCCACATACAAGGATAGGGAAGACTACAGAAGAAACAACTTTATTAAAGAAATTTGGTAAAGTGAAGAGGAGAAACTGACTACAATTTATAAAAGAGGTAAAATATCTTGGTATGGCCTAAACTCTTCTAATGATATTAAAATAATAAAAATTAGGTATTTATGGGACAAAGAAATGGATTATTATCTACTGAAGATAACTTTATAGTACTGTCAGCTGGACTGGTGAGAAATGTACACGTTGGAATTTTCACTTTGTAAGCTAAGTAACGTGATTTATATATAAACGAAAGTGAAATATAAAAAAAAATTTTAAAAAATAGAATTATCAGCTCTAAAATGTATTCATCAGACACAATATTTTTCATCAAACTGTTTGAGCCACAAACTACTAATCCTCAGGTCTTCTCACGGAGTCACAATTTTCAAAATGGCAGTCTATTAATTTTATCCTCGTTGACTGATAATTTACGTACTTGTGCTTAAGCAAGTTTTGATTATTCAGTCACAAAATATGAATTTAGCACTCTTGAATTTATAGTATATGTTTCACCAAAAGGCCCACATTTTAAATTTTATGTTTACTGGCCTTACCTGAAGTTCTTTGTATCTGTCTTGAAAAGAAATGGCCTCTTTCTCTTTTTCTTTTAAGAAGCCTTTTTCTAAGACACTGTGCTTTTCCATCAATGACTCCACATCCTAAAAGAAAATTTCAAACATGACATATATATTTAATGGCATAGAATAAATATAGCTTTTTTAAAAGAATTAGTTATTTTACTGTTGTTATTTTAATTCACTAGAGAGAGACAGAGAGAGGAAAAGTGAGAAAGCAAGGCACCAGGTCTGGTACTCAAAATGTGGTCAGTCATGTGGGAGTCCAGCACCTCAACCACCATTCCACCCTCTGGCTCCAGTTTTTTCAGAGAACAATTCAGAAAGCATTTGTAAGAGAAGAAAAATCATACAAAGTATAGTTTATAACCTAATAATATTATAAATTGTTATGCTTCACTCTGATTTCAAGATAAATATCAAACATTATTATAACACTAAAATGATACTAATAAACGAGTAACAGCATTTTTTAACTTATTTCAATCAACATAATCAATCTCTATATACACTTTTTTTTTTTTTTGGAGAGGCTTTCGCTATAGGGCGCGTGCGCTCGCCAGACAGTCAGAGAGAGATATAGAGACAGAAAGCGAGAAATCACCCCCCAGGAGGGATGGTCACGCTGCAATCCCTTTTCCTCCATTCTCCCCTTGGGCTCCTGGGCACGCACGCACATGCACCTGGCGTGAGTTTTAAGCCACCGGGTCCGGGACGCAAACCGCGGTCAACTACGTGGGAGTCTAGTGACATAGCCATTACGCTAACTGCTGGTTCCCACTATATACACTTTTTATAAATTTGCTAAGATCTTTTACAGATATATTTGTAAGGAAGAAAAATGAAAGCATAAATAAATAATTTATTAAAATGGTTGTATATCTAAGTAAAGTTATCAAATATCTTATGAGACCTAACTTCTAAGAAGTCAGCTCATGAAATTTCAAATCTGCATAAAAATGCAATACAACCTGCTTTCAAAGTAAATAAAAGTAAACCAGAAAGGAAATCATTAAAGGGAAAAATATTGGAGACTTCTTATCAAAGGATTTTCTAAGTGATAAGTTCATTTGATTGATTTAAACCTCTATCCAAAGGAGTATAAGATCTTTCTCTGGTGAGTATTTAAGAAAGTTTTACATCAAATTTTCAGTATATGTAATTCAACATTTATTTCTTAGGTAAATGTAAACAGACCTTTTTAATTCTCTGTTTTTCTTCTTCAGACATTTTGAGTTTACTCTCCAGACTTGATATTTTTTGCTGAAGCTGTTTGTTTGATACATTGGCTCCAGGATCCTCAGCATCATCCACAATGGCAATTGTTCCATTACTTTTCTCATCGGTTAAACCCAATGGAAAAAGTGAGATATCCAGATGAGTGTGTGTTGATTGCTGAATCTAAACCACATTAAAAAAAAAAAAAAAGGAAAAATAAAGAAAGGAAAGTTTATACTACACCAATAATGAAAACATCCAAAGGGCACCAGAAACCACATTTGGAAATTAAGTTGTAGCAAAGGTTCTGAAATTATTTCACCCTTAAAGTAAATCAACAAAAGACCTCAAGCAATCACAACCTGATTTTTGTTGTGAGATACAAAATTTCCTCTCAACCTTAAAGATTAAGGCATTTATATTTTGCTAGCAGTACACACACACACACACACACACACACACACACACCTCAAACTCAAAACTTTTTCTTATGCTAGAAAATAAATGAAGTATAACACATCTGATACCCAACAGTGTTTAAATGTACACAGGTTCAAAATTTGTTCATATGAAATATAACACATCTGATACCCAACAGTGTTTAAATGTATACAGGTTCAGAATTTGTTCATATTTTAAGTTGAAAATCAGAATTCAAAATTTATCAATGACCTCAAAATTGATCAGTACTTTCTAGAAAAATGAATAGGTAACTGTAAACTGTTTACAACACTTTGAGAACCAGAACTAATTCTAGCACCTAGCACAATGGCATCCAATAAATATTTGACTAGAACTAATGTCTTTTTTTGAGTTTTATTCCTAAATAGAAATAAATACGCTAATACCTGAAAACATATGACAAGATTACCTGAAAAAAGAAATAACTATTATTTTTTTCTAATTACATTCTCTTTGAAATTCAATTTTCAATATGCAAAGCTATGTCAATTTTAACAAAAGAGATATTCAAGACATATTTTGGTAACTAAGGCTACTTAAACATTTTGCATTTGTGGCACAAAACAAAAATATTATCCAGTTTTTGAATTTCAGATATTAGCCTCAAATATTCTGAATTCCAGATAATAGCCTCTAGAAATATTGTTTAGGAAAAAATAGTTTAAAAAAATTTTAGAAGGTCAATTAAATCAGTAGGCAGTATTTTAAGTATGTTGACGTCCTTTAAAACCACACTTGTCTTTACCTGTGCTTTAGAAACAGTCTGATTCATGATGCTGTTGTCTACATGTGTGTTCTCAGGTGATGAAATGATGGCATCAGGAGAGAGGCAGCCAACTGAGCGAGAAGAGTGGTCATAGTCCAGTACACTCTCAGGAGACGCTGGCGAAAGACGGACTCCAGATACTGAACAGAAAACAGAGAAAGTACTGGTTGGAGGGAAGAGAGTAGGAAAGAAAGAGAACAAGGCAAACAAAGTAAAGCAATGACATTATTCCTCAGGGATTGCTATCTGAAATTAAAATTAGTGTGTTTGACTTTAACATGGTATTGGGTCATCAAAAAAGTCATGATGTATTTTTCTGTTTCTCTACGCAAAATAGCTTTCTGATGACCCAATATCTCCATGTGAGACACAGCCAAACAACATGCTTTTGCAACATCTGTTTATATACTACCATTGCTGTCATAAGAAATGCATCTTCATCTCAGCAAAACTATTCATACATGTCACATATTCATTCGTTTAGCTGAGAAAAAGGCATTTTGTTAAAAAAAATTTTTTTTTAAAACACTATTGTGCCTACTAATACCACCCTGAGGTATTACGCAGTGAGGAGGAGACAGCAGCAAGAAGACAGACACACTCATGTACTCAAGGACTCTGTCACAGAGTAGGCAAGTCAACCAACAGACATGCATTACCATGGAAAATGAACAATTTCTTTGAAACAACTACTCAACCTTTCTCTGTATTAAGTTATAACAAAAGATTTAAAATTATATATAGTCAACTTTTGTTTGCAGCTTTCTACAGAAAAATAATGTTAAAATACAATTTGTAACCAGTTTCACAACAAATCATCACTATACTTGATTAGAGTCAAAATAGAAAGGTCATGAAAGGAAAGTCAATTGTCACGCATGATATAAGACAAAAATATTGATGAGGGTAAAATAAAATACACAAGTTACATTTACATTTTTTTTAATTTCAAATGTTCTTTCTAAAAATTTAAATAAATTTCTATTACATGTTTTAGAATGCAAGAGTATTGAGTCATTTTTAGCATATAATCCATTTATACTTCTTTACTTTCTAAATTATAAAGACCTTTATTCCACATTGGCATCAATAGCAATGTCAGCAAAGTTCTACCATAAATTCTGGAAGGCAGCTCACAATGTAACTTGCATTTTTTCCTGAAGAAAGATATGCATAAGGCCATTAGGTATTTAAAAAATTATGGACTATATCAATTTCTGATAGTATTTTAAGGGATTAATCAACTGATATATACTGTAATTACATTATTGTGTGTTTGAGATATTATATGCCATAATTGGATATACTAGCTCCATCTGCAGGCATTTCAATGAAGATATTCAAATACAGAAAACTGGAAAAAATTTTTACTTCCATACACTCATCAGAATGAGCAAGAGAAAATGAGAGTAAGACATAAACAGAAAAAGCACGCCCCCTATAAGGCACCAAAAAAAATGGAATTTTAATTCACATATGTAGTTAGTATATCTTTTTTCAGAAATTATTTTTTCTTATCTTCACTACTCTACAGACTGAAAGAGAGGTCTCTGAAACATCAAAATATTTCAATGTCTAATTCTGAATCACAATGTATAACAAAAATATTACTAACAATTTTTTAGAGGTATGAAAATAAGTTGTATAGTATACTGACCAAGAATATAGCCTATAATTAAAGACTATAGACTCCAAAATTATATGGCCAAACCAGGTGTAGAACAATGGGGAAAGTTACTTAACTTTCCTGTGCTTCAGTTTCCTCAGCTATAAAAATGAACATACAGTTACCAGTAAGGTTTAAACTGGTTAAAAAATAAAAGGATTTAGCACAGCCTTAATATTATTTTCATTATTATTTTTAAGATTGTTACTAAAATTTATTAGATAAATATGTCTATTCAAGTTATGTTTATTTAAGGGCACAGAGGGTATACATGGCTATGATCCTAAATTCAAGAAACTCTTAAAATATCGTTCTGAAGAAATACCTGAATATTTTAACATCTGTTTATGTCACTCACACTTATAGTCATAAATTAGGACAAGATGTCATTTTGGCCCAAATTTTCATTCTGTAACATTAAATATCCAAATGTACCATATTAGTGAAAAAATAGGGGAAAGTGGACAGAATACAGGAGGGTAGGAGAGAGGAAGAAAGGAAAGAAAAAGGGGGGGGGGAAGGCTATATAAAGAATATATCCACTCCTAATGTGGAGGTTGAAAGAGGCAAGTTGGGGGTGGAGGAATGGAGATACCCATACTGGCTACCACCATCCCATCATTATTTTCCATCATAATCAAATATCTCAAATAGTTTATAAATCCTGTCTCCATTTTCTCTTCCTAAACCCAATCTTGTCACTCTGTTGGACCTGTTGTTGAAAATACTACTTGTCTTTTCAATTATTATTAAGTCAAATGAACACTTCTGATCTTGTCTTTTTTTCATTCTCCAGAACAAATGTTACTAAAAACCCTCTATTTTTCTTGAAACTCCTTCCTTGGCACCTATGACACCATAATCTTCTAGATGTCCTCCTGACATTTTGAATATTTGTTCTTTGTTTCATTTTTTACTATTTTCCACTAAATCCTACATTCTACTGTTTCTTAAGCCTTCTGATCTTCTCACTACACATTGCATTCAGAGTTACCACTCTCATATTCATTATTGAAGTTACCATCTATAAACTGTCATCCAAATTCACATTCCCAGAACAAATCACTCTGCAGACTTCCAAATTCACATACTCACCTTGTGACCACACAGTTCCATTTAGCTGTCCAACAGGAACATCAGACTTACCCATCATCTTACACAAACCCACTCATGTTTTTCATCTCAGTAAATAGCATCTCAATGAACTAATTTCCCAAGCCAGAAACAAAGCCAGTAAGTGCCAACTCCACTCCAGTCACGGTACACTGTTAACATTCTCTGATGATGCTGTACTGTTCAATTCCTCTGTGACCTCACAATAAAACTGCCTAAGCGAAAGTCATAAGCTTTAGAGTCAGAAATGAATTGCAATTTGAACAAAAATAATTGCCTTATTATTCAGCTTCAGACAAACTACATATATTCCTTTAAGCCAGTTTCTCTTCTAAAAGTGGGAAGATAATATGTTCCTCAAACATTAAATGTGATAATGTATAAATCAATTAGCTCAGTGACAGGTACACAGTAAATGTTCAGTAAATGGATATTATTGAAGTTATCATTTAAATGTGTAATAGTATTGTGTTAGGCAACATTTAAAACAAACTTTTTCATTAATCTTTTCATCTACCCAACTCACAATATATAACCATTTTACTCACCCAATTACATTAATATTAATTTTCCACTGTCAAGATATGGCAGAATTTCTATGAAATAAAAATATCGAAACCACGATATATCAGAATCCACAGGATATATTTAAAGCAGTAATTAGAAAAGACCTATAGTCTTGAACACATCAATAAATTAAATCCCAGCTCAAACCAAAAAAAAAAAAATTTAAAGCAAACTAAGGAACCTAATAAAGATAATCCAGACATTAAAGTAAATTAGCAAGAAAAGAGCATATTAGATTAATCAAAATGCTAAATTTCAAAAGATAATAAATAGTTGCTATCTTAACAGTAAAAAGAAAAGAGCAGAAATATACAAAATTAAATGAAAAGAAAAACAATCTATTAAGAAAAGAAAGTTAAATGAATTCCAGACCAGGTAGCTTGAAACATACACTGGGCATGTGTGTATGTGTGTCCAAAATCCTGAAAGGAGAATGGACGAGAAGGGATTTCAGCATGGTCATCCCCCATAGAATGTGTGCACTCTCACTCACTCGTTCTCTCTCTCTCTCCAGCAAGCACATGCAACCCCTATCAATTTTTTATTAAAAAAAAAGAAGAAAAAGAAAAGAAAAACTTTAAGAGTATCATCTGTAAATAATAAGGTAAAAATTCTAAATGAAATATCAACAATCAGAATCCAATACCATAATGAGAAGATGGTAAGCAATGAAGAAGTAAGATATAGTCCAGAAATGCAAAGCTGGGTCGCTATGAGAGAATTCATCAATATTATGCTTAGAATTAACAGGCTTACAGAAAAACAAATGATATGATTAGTTCCAAATGCCTTTACTAAAATCAAACATTGCTTCTGTTAACAATAATCAAGAAAGTGGGAATTGATGAATTTCTTAACATAATAAAAGATACTAATCTTAAGTCCTAAAGCTAGCATGCTAACATATGGAGAAAAATTATAGGCACTTCCTCTAAGATAAGGAATGAAAAAAGTATGCCTACTATTTCCACAGTATTCAACATTGTACTAAAGACATGTGCAAGTGCAATTAAAAAAGAAAATCAAATAGCAGCATAAAAACAGGAAAAAGAGGAAAATTGTCTCTGTTTCTATTATAGAAATCCATAATAAAATTAATTCAAACAATAAAAGCATTTAAGTAAAGTACCAGTATAAAAACTTCAACAGAAATCAGTAATATTCATTTGTAAAAGCAACCATTTAGAGGATACAATGGTACAAAAAATATACTATTCTTTCTAGCAAAGAAGACAAAATACTAGGAATAAGTTTAGCAATGTTGTGGGATGGCTTCTGTGATGTCCAGTTCTTGGTGTTTCAGACAAAGAATTGAATGAAACACACCAATAGTGAGAGGAAAAGGCAGTTCGTTAAATAAAAGTTAAAGAACACTCCTGAGAGGTAGGAGCAGGCCTGAGTGAACAGAGAAGGTATGACTTAAAAGGTTCAGGCAGATACCCTCTGGAGGGTTGATTTCTCACAGACCCTCTCACTGTTTCTCTCCAGACAGCATACTCACCCTATGTTAAAAACTTTATAAAAAAAAAAAAAAAAAAAAAAAAAAAGAATGTCTCCTGCAGTTACACACCGTGAGGTTTACAATTTTTCAGTCTAGGTCATGTCCACTGATCATTGGCTTGGCCCACTGATTGTTCTTATCTCACTGGCTCTATCAAATGTGGCAGTGCCCACTGATTCATCTCATTGGTTATAATGAATGTGGCTTTATCACTAGATATCTTCCAATGGAAATCTGCCTACGTTAACCTTGGGCAGGGAATTTTTTTTCTTTTGGAGAGGTTTTTGCTATAGGGTGCATGTGCTTACCAGAAAGATAGAGGACAGAAAAGGGAGAAATCATCCCCTAGGAGGGATGGCTATGCCGCAATCCCTTCTCTTCCATTCTCCTCTCAGGATCTTGGGCATACACGCATATGCGCCCGGCATGCGTTTAAGCCACCGGGTCCAGAACTCAAACCACAGTCGACCACATGGGACTCCAGTGATAACAGCCATTTCGCCAACTGCTGGTCCCTGGGCAGGGAATTTTCTGCCCGGATCAGTTTTTCTATCTAGCCACATAGGCAGATGCTCTAGCTCCCTTACCCACTTCCATTTCCCAGCTGTCTCCTGCCTCGGTAAGAAATGTGAAGAAAACTTTAAAACACTCCTGAAAGACACAGAGACAGACCTTTAAAGAAAGGTAAATATATCCCTTGCAATTGGACAGTACAATTGAATATCATAAAGATGACAGTTGTGTCTTAGTTCATTTATGGGCTTAATACAATCTCAATCAAATGGTAAGATTTATAAATTGAAGCCAGATTTTAAAAAAAAATTGAATGTCACATGAAAAAAGTAAACACGTAAAAATAGGAAAATCCTAATAAAGAAAAGCTACAAAAGGCTACAAGAAAATCACTAAAAAAGTAAAGTTAGTCACTCTCATTAAACATATACTGGGCAAGCAAGTGGCATGGTGATTAAGGCATATGGATCCCTATGGGCCAGATGGCATGGAGCTGAACTCCCACAAGGCCAACCTCAGTTCAAATCCCAGACCTTTCTCACCAACACCACCACCACCACCTGCCCCACCCCCGTCTCTCCCTGGTGAGTGCATGTGTCCTATAGCAGACTTAAAATAATACTAAAAAATAATTGAAATAAAAAGGGGGGGGGCACCTGGACTCACATGGCTGACTACATAGTTTGAGTTCTAGATCCAAGAACTTGAAAAATATGACAGGTGCCTGTGTATGCATGCCCAAAATCCAAAAGGAGGGAGAAATGGAAGTAAAGGGATTTGGGCATGATCAATGCCCCAAGCAAATGTTTTCCCTTTCCCTCTCTCTTTCTCTCTCTCTTTCCCCCCTCCTTTTGTCTCTCTCTCTCTCTGCTTCTCTCCGGCAAGTGAACATGACCTCCAGCAAATTAAAATAAAAATCCTATATAAAGATAAACCAGCCCTCTAGCCTAGTGGTGGTAAAGGGAGCCAGATTCCACATGTCTAGCCATGGTTTAAGTCCTAGCTTCAGCAGCTTGAAAAAACACCCCAGGGGGGCGGCAGGTGGTGTGGTGGCTAAGGGCACTAAACTCCCAAGTGGCCAACCATCATTCAAGTCCCAGACCTGATGGCTTGCTTTCTCACTTTCCCTCTCTCGCTCTGCCACATCTGAAGAACTAACTAACTAACTAAGGGGGGCATGGGGGGGGCGAAAGGGCTGACCCTGTAACGCAGTGGTTAAGAGCTGTAGAGCTGTGTGTCAGAAATCAGATACCACATGGTCAACCATGATTTGAATCCTGGCCAAGGCAGCTTGAAAAAGAAGGCAGGCACATGTGTATGTGGGCCTAAGAAACGGATGAAAATGAGAAATGGAGGAACAGGATTTTGGCATGACCACGTCCCACTTCATGAGGTAGTGTCTCTCTCTCTCTCTCTCTCTCTCTCTCTCTCTCTCTCGGACACAGCCCTCTGGTAATAATATATTTTAAAAATTTTTAAATAACTACACGTGCTTAAAATATCATTCTAATGACTTTTTGTTTCAATATTCTTCCTAGTTGTAATAGCCAATCCTCATAAGCCACCTTATCTCACCAATCAAAACTTGCTCTGGGTTAACAGATTGCAAAAGACCTTAATGAAAATGAATGACTAACAGCAGTCAATTAGCTTTTGTGGGGAAAAAAAGTCAACAATCAGCAACACATCAATTAGTACAGATTTTGGAGGCGCAAGCCTTTCTGGAATCCTGCTAACCACATCAATACTTATTCCAGATATAAGGAAAGTTGAGCCTAAGTCTCTACAATTTAGTTTTGTTTTTTCAACTTAGGAGATGTAAAAGAAACTTTCATAAATTTATTTATAAACGTTCAAAATGAGAAAACAAATGAAAAGTTGCTATCAAATAAAAGGAAATATGTATTTCCCTCTAAGTGAAAACTAGACTCTTTTTCCTCTAAGTGAAAACTAGACTTTTTCAGTTAAACCTCTAAATTTCTCACTACAGTAGAAGTCACATATCTTCTCTAAATTTCAGGTGACTGCTCTATAACAATAAGTCATCCACCTCTTAAACACATACACACACACACACACACACACACACACACACACGTGCATGCTAGCAACTATGGGCCACAGATGGACAGTATACAATTTAACAGTAGTGATGGTATACATATTTTGTATATAAGAGCTTAACTAATAGAAATTTTTTTCTTCTTCTTTATCTTGGGGGGGGTGGGGAGAGAGGTTTTTCCAGAAAGAGAGAGACAGAGAGACAGAAAGCGAGAAAACACCCCCTAGAGGGGATAGGCACGCCGCAATCCCTTCTCCTCCATTCTCCTCTTGAGATCTTGGGCACGCACGCACATGCGCCCAGCGTGAGTTTTAAGCCACTGGGTCCGGGACACGAACCGCGGTCAACTACATGGGAGTCCAGCAACATAGCCATTACACTAACTGCTGGTCCCAACAAACAGAAACTTTCAACATAATTTAAAAATCACAAATTTTAATAAATAAAATATTATCCTCCCATCACAGTCAAAAAATATAATTTTTTGAAGAGAGA